CCAATTGACTAATGAGATTGCAGTAACAATGCTGCCTGTGGTACCAATTGACTAATGAGATTGCAGTAACAGTGCTGCCTGTGGTATCAATTGACTAATGAGATTGCAGTAACAGTGCTGCCTGTGGTATCAATTGACTAATGAGATAGCAGTAACAGTGCTGCCTGTGGTATCAATTGACTAATGAGATTGCAGTGACAGTTCTGCCTGTGGTATCAATTCAGTGTTCTCCCCAAAGCGTTTTAGCGTAGCGGGGCCGCTACTCCATTATTTATGCCGCTACTCTGAGAGATTGCCCGCTACTCTGTGGCATTTCCTGTTACTCTTTGTTTTAGCTTGTTAATACACGTGCGAATCTGTTAGTCAGCGTCATCAGCGTCCGGTACTGTGAGCCAAATCAGGTGTGAATGGAAACATGTCAGTGATTACGCAAAGACAATGGACTGATACAGCTTCGTACTTCGACAATAAACACTTTCGCCCTATTTAATTGGGGTAATGGCGAGTATTTTCTCAGTAGCATATTTGGCTGGAAGAAGCAACGATGTCAAACAGCAGAAATATTACGTTGTGGTTCCGCGTAGAACGCCCTGCTGGGCCCCTGGTTGCGAGCGATAAACCCACCAGCAACGCGGTCACCGGTACCCCTGTCGGCAGTGGTACTAAACGTGTCCAAGATGATGTTACAACGAAAAGTGCAAAAAAATAAACTCTAGATTTGATGCACAATGGACAACAAAATATACGTGGCTGAGAGAAACATCCGATGGCAAAGGTAAAAAAAGTATTTATTTGTAGCGTTTTACTTGGAAGCGAGTTTTGACCTAGTTTAGTAAATTTTTGTATGGCTTCATTTTTTGCCGATCGTCGAAACATTTTTTTGGAAACGACCTTCTTTCTGGAAGTTCAAAAATTGTTGGCTACGATTTATCAAAGTAACTAATACTAGTATTGTGTTTTGAAATAGTTAGGTAAAGTTTATCGTGGCAATTTTTAAGTTTAGCGACTTTTCAAAATGGCGGCAATTTGTTTATTTTCGTGTTGATCGTGACGATATATTTTAAATACAAGTATTGATTCGCTCCTATTTCTTATCTTTTAGGAATGCTGTGACACATATGTGGAAAATTCAACTTAAAAACATCCAGAAATAGTTCTTTGGTATGGAATTCTATGCCATGTATAACTATTACGAAATATGCTATCGATAAACACGCACACTCGGAGATGCACAAGAAGGCCATGTCATTTAATAGAAGTGGGAAGCAAAGAAAATCACGGCGTTCTCAAAAGCTGCAGATCACTGGGCTTCCATGAAAGTCCGAAGAATCAACATTACATAGAAATCACACAGCAGCAGATTCATTTAATCTTCTACATAAATTTGTTAAAAAATAAAGACACATTTTCATCCATGCAAGCCTGTCATTATTGCTTTCTTTATCTTCAGACAAATGCTAATGATATGTAAATTATATGCAAATTAGCCGCCACTCTGATACATTTTTCTGGGGAGAACACTGGATATCTTGCAGTCAAAATGAATTACAGCATCTTTTTATATTCTAATTTTCTTAGCTCTACTCGTACAACATATACCATGAATATAAGGGGAAATTTATTAACACAATAGCTTGATACTTGTCATTTATTTGTGAAAAGTAAAAAGAGTATGACAAAAATTGTGAAAAGAAACTGCAAAAGCACGACTGACTTCTTTGACCTTTGCCACCATTCAAAAGTAACAATCATTTCACTGTGACAGCAAGAAAGAATAGAACAACATTATTGCAGTATGAGACAGTTTTGCTTATGCTATAATATAGCTACATTGCTCACAATGAATTTAGTCATTGCTTGGTATGGCAACACTGTAAATAGCGCCGTTTTGTTCGTATCGTATTGCTGTTCATTTTTGCGATCACAGCACAGGGAGCCCAGGAACTATAATCAACTGTAATACGCAGTCTGTATGAGCAGGGGGGGGGGTGTATCGGCTGGTATCTAGTGTAAGAAATAGACAAGGGATGAAGGCTCCAGCCAGCTCACATTTTTTAAACTCGAAAAAACTAACGAAAAGAATGAAAAATAAAATCTAAAAAAATAGTCGTGACCTCGATGGGGTTCGTAACCAGTCTTGTGATTGGTTGTTGACAAATGCTGAACAGGCCATGCCTCTAACGGTGTCGTGCGTTCGGACTAACAGTTAGGAATTCCTAAATGGAGTCAATTTGTGTGGTTTTCTTGATTTATTCTGCAGATATCGGTAAAATGTAGGTAATCAGGGTTCTCCCCAGAAAAAATGCATAGCGCCGGGGCTAATTTGCATAATAATTTGCATATCATTTACATATCTTT